CTTCCTCTTTCCTCTCCAGCACAATGTTAGTTTAATATCATTTAGATTTATTTTGTTTTTAATATTGGGGATTTCTTCTAACCTTCCTATTTCTGGCCATTTCTGGCTTCTTTATACATGGAAAAGAAATTTGTCTAGTTTTATCTGCCATTCCTGGTAACTGAAATAATGGATTCTACATTTTTCTTTCCAAATATAAATCAACTTTTTTTTCCTTTGTTTCTTCTAATAAAGAAGATCAAAATCTCTGTTTGCATAGTACTGAGATGATTATGTTTTTCATAGATTTCCTCTTAAAAACCCATAGGTATGTTTTTGGATTTATTGGTGCTACATTGCTGGTGTGGCTTTATACCAGCTGTATTTATTTAAGGAGGATATTTCAGTTCAGTGGCAGGCCATCATTTTCATAGTGATGGGTTTTCTAAAAGATGTAATATTTTTAAATTAAGTCTTGATAGTAAATGGAATTCTTGCAGCGTTCCTATTATAATTAATGTAAGCAATGTAGAAGAATTTTTAAGAAATGTTTTCCTTTTGTTCTGTAACTGGTGGAAATGTGCTCATGTGGCTTTCTTGCATTGCAGCAGTGTCAGGAGTCAAGTCCTGATCGCATTACACTGTATGGTTTAATGATGAAACCTATCCAACGTTTTCCACAATTCATTCTACTATTGCAGGTAAATAATGTTTACAAAAGAGAGGCTCCTTTTGCATTCTTGCACGAGCTTTCCCTTGGGATTACATGGTAGCTATCTTCTGCTGTAGGATCTTGTTGCAGTGGAAGTGACCACTAGAACATGGGGAAATAAAGAGAAAATTTCAGTGCATTAAACATGCTGATCTTATAGTCTCATTGCAGGGATGGGCAGTAAAGGCCCTGCAGGAAAGCCTTAGTAAACTACATTTACTACAGATTACTTGCTAAGTAAACTATAGCTTATAAATTGTTTTCTAGTAAAGGTGTAGTTCAGATATGCTACTTGTTTATATCTGTTTGTTAGCTAGTAACACTTCAAAACGTGACTAGGAACTTTGTGGCATTACTTTCCATTGAAGAAAAAAACAAGAAGATTAAATTCATACCTTAGATAGTTTAGAATACATGTGAAATGCAGAACAACAATCCACTCTCTGACTACTTGGCTCACAGAACCTGCTAGAGTATGTTGCAGCTTCCTTCTGACCTGCAGAGTCTTGTTTCTTTTCCCATGGAAACTGTGGATTTGACAGGAGTCCTTGGGTCTCATGTCAACAGAGAGTCAAGCTGCAGAAAGAGCACAATTCCCCAGTATAGACCTGCTCCAGACAAATGTACTCTGTTTTTACCTCCTTCCAGACCACAGCAGATCTACCCCAGTAGCATTGCATGTTAGCTGTGTTCGCAGGTGCCAAGAGGACAGGCTTTGGGTTGAAAGTCTGGGAATTGCTGGGGGTAAAGGATCTGAGGTAGTCATGGAGAAAGCATGTGAATTGGAAGCCATAGTGAGAGTTTTTGAAATAGTAGGAACAATGAAGTTTATTATGGCAGGAAGATTTTTGAGTGCTCTGGGAGTGGAAACAAAGTGTAATTCAAACTGTCCCTACTGTATGCCTACAAAAGAGAAAGATTTGGAGGAGCTGTTGTGACCTTAATGAAGTAATGCCTCCTACTTTAGGAGGAATATACTGTCCATGTTTTAATGAGGAGTAATAACAGTAATAGAGTAATAAGAGTAATAAAGTAATAATGGTAACAAAATAATAAAGATAATACAATATTATTATGACAGTAAATATCAGGAAGGTTTCATTTAAAATCATTTATAGATGCATACATATTATAGTATAATACTGATTGCCAGATTGTTTAATATTATCTCTCATCTCTTAAATTTGTTCTTTAAATAAGAATGTATGTGATCCCATTCAGTATATTTTAAAAGAATTACTAAGATATTTGGGGAGTTAAGCAATGTGCTGTCTGAATATTCATTAGGTGTTTATTGGTCTTATTCTTTACTAGTACTCAAGAATGTAGTTGTAACTGTACATTCCATAATCTTTGGAACCTGACTTTGAAAAAAAATCTGATGGGTTTTTTTTTGTTTTATAATACCCCTCAGGATATGTTGAAGAACACTAGTAAAGGACATCCTGACAGATTACCTCTACAGATGGCTCTTACAGAACTTGAGACACTGGCAGAGAAGTTAAATGAAAGGAAAAGGGATGCAGATCAGCGCTGTGAAATAAAACAAATAGCAAAAGCAATGAATGAACGTTATCTGAACAAGGTAAGGAAAGTAGGAAAGTATAATGGAAATAGAAGAGTCAGTTTCTGGGCCTTGAGTAATCTTTACAACAGACACCAAAGAGACAGCTATGTTGTTTTTTTCTTTAGAGATAACTACATGGGGTCGTTCTAGTGGTAGATGTGAGATGTGACCTGCCTCTGAGACTGAACAGGCTCACCACTGTGTGCTGGAATAAGCAACACACTGAACTTGCCTCAGCAGTATTGGGGCATAAATGCTTCAATTATTGCTTTTGTGAAGCTTCAGGTTATTAGTGGGGATATGCTGAAGGAATGGGGTTGTTTTTGGAGATACAAAAAAGCACATCTTTTAGGAAAGCAATAGTCAACCAGAAAACGCTTGTTTAAGCTATTTACCAGGAATTGAATACTGAATTTCTTTTCATACTGGAACAGCATTTCCATTCTAAGTGCATTAGAAGATGGATTCAGACATTTTATTTTCTTTTCTAGTTCTCATAATCCTGCTTCTTGAAGCAGCTATTACTCATCTGCAAATAGTTCCAAGACAAAGATTGTGCTTTTGAAGAGGTAGCCCAGGTTACCTTTTGTCAGTTGATATTGATTGCAAGATTTTGTGTGTTACGCAGTGGGGAATTCATTGATATATACATGGGCTGTCACTCCAAATCTCACAGGGTCCCACAGGCCTTGTGTGTTAATATTACGGAATCAGCTGAGTTGGGAGGGACCCATGTGGATCATAAAGTCTAACTCATGTCTCTGCACAAGACCAGTCCTGAGAGTCACACCAAGTACCTGAATGTGTCCAAATGCTTCTTGAACTATGTCAGGCCTGGGGCTTTGAGCACTACCCTGGGGAGCCTGTTCAGTGCCCAAGCACCCTCTGGGTGACGAACCCTCCCCTCACAAGGAAGCTGTATACTGCAGAGAGATCTCCCCTCTGTCTCCCCTTCTCCAGACTGAACAGACCGAGTGACCTCAGTCACTCCTCATACAGCTTACCCTCCAGGCCTTTCACCATCCTTGAGGCCATCCTTTGGGCTCTAATAGCTTAATATCTTTCTTACATTGCGGCACCCAAAACTGCACACAATATTCAGATGAGGCCAGTGCAGGGCAGAGTGGCACAATCTCCTCCCTTGCCTAGGTGGTAATGCTGGGTCTGATGCACCCCAGGACATGGTTGGCCCTCCTGGGCCTGTCTGTTTGCATATACGGTTTTGGAACAATGCCAGCCAGGGTGAAATAGATGGTGAAAGAGGTGGTTGAGTAGAAAATTAGTGAGGTACGGAGAATTTTATTCTGTTGGACGCTATGGAGATGTGCTTGATATGTAAGGGATTGGTTCATGCTTGCACACAGTGGCTGATCCTCAGCCCTTGAAGGCAAATGTCATTTGCAATTTACATACCAAGAATCTCTTGGAGGTGTCATCTTCTCCACAGTCTGTGACACCCTGCCAGCTGCACTCCTCAGCTCTGTGAGCCCAGGGGGACAGAGCAGGCTAAGCACACATCCTCCTCACACTCTGGCCTCCCAATCTGGGCATCTGGAATCATGTGTAGGTCTTCAGTGGACTATGAAAGAAGAAACTAAGGAAGGAAGTCACAGAAATTGTGGAAGGAATATTTTTTTTTTGCCAAGAAGCCTTTATCAGTGTGGAAGATTCCCAGAGCAGCCATGGTCTACATTAAGTTGCAAAGCCCTTTAAGTCCACATGGATGACAGCAGAAGTTACTATTTCTCTAAATCAAAAGCAGATTAATAAAGAGACCTAATTACCTTGGCAAATCCACCTGCAATCACTTGTGCTAGGATGGCATGTGACAACCCATTGTTTTTGCTTTTTGTGTGCTGGATGTTGGAAGCACTGTGTGTAATATGCAATGCTGATTGTTTTCAAAATCCAGCTACTCAGCAGTGGAAACAGATACCTCATACGGACTGATGATATGGTTGAGACAGTTTATAATGACAAAGGAGAAATTATCAAAACCAAAGAACGGCGACTTTTCATGTTAAATGATGTGCTGATGTGTGCAACAGTAAATATACGGTAAGATTTAACTTATATTTTTTAAATTATCATTTGAACTTCAGGTGGAAAAAAATGACACTTAATGAATTTCTTTTGTATTGTTGTGTTTACTGTGGCTAATGGTTTCTAAGAGCAGTCATAATAAATGGATAGCTAGCTTTGTTATAGTCCTCCAAATTGCTGGCTGATATTTGGAAGTTCTAGAATAAATTTGTAAGAAAATTATATCAGTTGGAGATTACAGATGGAAATGCTCTATAGTGTCTTGCTATTGCTGTGTATTTGTGCTTAGTGGAATACAGGCATGCCAGGGTAAGACTTTTTTCTCTTCTTCCTTAAATTCCAATTGTAGCACACACAAATTTGTAACTTGACACAATTTGTGAAGTAAATACCACCCTCTGCAAAACAAACAACCTCCAACAAACAAACAAACAAAACCCATAAAGGTAATGCAGGTTGCCAGAACAAACCTGGAACTTGCTAACAAAGTCCCAGATGGGGAAGGTTTGTTATCTCTGAGACCAAAAATTGAAGGATTAAAGGTTAAATGCTTTGAAAAAGATACTTTTTCATAGGTCCTTCTGTGCTTTTGCTGGCTGTAATTATTACTGTTACTAAATGCCTTTGTGTGCCAAGGTTGTGTTTATATGTCATTTATATGTTGCTTGTATCATAAGTTGTTTTATGTAATGGTACATTCTGACAATGAAAATGTGGATTGTTAAAATCTGCCAAGAACAGCTTTTCTTAAGCATAATATGAGTTAATATCTTAATTCATTAATGAAGTATGAATCCTGTACATATATTTCTAAGTGTGTGATTGTGTGGTCTCATGTCCATGTGAGTGAGAAGTGCCATGTGATAGCTACACTTTAGAAAATTAACAAGCTCATGGCAATTATCCTGTGGTCCTTTTCTTTGCAAATTCTTTACTTTCTTAGTAACACTTGAATATTATTTTTGCTATTCATATTTTATCTTCTTTCATACCAGTAAAGTCTTGGATTTTATGTATTTGTACTTGAAGTAGCAAAGTGCAGTCTGTTTTTGTTTTCTGTGTTAAAAGTTCATGATCATGCCAAGTCTCTGACCCTCTGAGGGTCATGTCTTCTGTAAAAGTCTGTATCTTTTTCAAGCCATAGAAAATTCCTCTGTAACTGTGGCATTCACATACCCTCTGAGCAGAGAGAGACTTAGTTTTCTCAGGATTTCTTCTGAGAGAAGCTGTGAGAGAAGCAGAGTAAAGAGAATAAATGATTATCTCATTCACTGCTCCTGTGTTTGTGCTCCTGTGGAATGTGGTATGGAGATTGTTTACCCAAGGGGATTGCTTGATTGGATGCTGGTGATGGTGTTTTGTATTCATTGACCAAATGGATCCATGTGTGTGTCAGGACTCTCAGGAGAGAGTCACAGGTTTTTCTTATTAGTGATATAGCTGGTTAGTGATAGTTGTTGTTAGTGTAATATAGTATAATGTAGTATAATTAATTAATTAGCCTTCTGAAATCATTGGAGTCCTGCACATCATTCTTCCCGTGCATTGGGCTTCCTCGCACTGATAGTGGATCCTAGGCACCTGGGACATTTGAGCGTTCCTGGTTTGTAAAAGATAGAAATTTTTACAGATGACACAACCCTCAGGTCTTCCTTTGCACACAGTGTAGATGACCAGCAGGAGCTGGTGGCCTGACTCTGAAGTAACAGCAGTTGGATGGGGTGGATGCTATCCCTAGTGACTGAATAACTGTGTCCTGCCTGGTTTTTTTGGTGGTTTTTTTTGTTTGTTTTGTTTCTTCTGAGCTAGGTCAACAATTTATAAATATTTACTTAAATTGTGGCAGTTGTGTTCTTTGTTCATACTTGCTTCCTCATTGAAACAAAAGTCTGCGTTGCAGATAGGTAGCTGACTAGCTCAATTTCAGCATTTAGCTCCTGTTCTCAATAAATGCATTTTACTGATTTCTCTCAAGCATTTGACTTCTGCATTTCAATCATTCTTCCTGTGAAATAAACCTTTTTTGTTCACTTTAACATCTCTTTTGTCCTTTTTAGTAAATGTTTGTTACATGTTCTTGGATGGGAATAAGGAAGTGAAGGAAACAAAGTAAAATTAGTGTTGATGTCATTTATATTCCTAATGAGCTTCCTCAGTGTGCTCTTTCCTCTGAAATGCCTGTTGTGATACACGCTTCTTAAGCAGCAGCTCAGGCAGGATTACTATTGGAAGTGCAGCAGTTGTAGAGGTCTGCTGTACAGAACAGTCTGGGCTGTGGGGCTTGGCAGAAATGTTGGCTTGTCAGCCCTTCGGTTGTCCTTCCTGTTGCCAGCACTCATTCAAAGGTCCCATCATCTGTAACATAGGAGTTAGGGCCCAAAAAGAAGTGTTTCAAAAAATCAGGAAAATGTGGAGCCAAAGTATAGTCCCAAGCACTTGTATTAGGATTTCAGAACACATATTGATCTTAAAAGATGGTCATTTACGTTTTGCTATAGAAATGTAAGGACTGTTGTTGGCAGTCCTGTGGTGTTTGCAGACAAGATTATCTGCATCTGCATGGCTGCTATTTGCACGCTGAGAAAGGTCAGTCACAAAAATCAGCCAGATGCATGTATTTCTTTTAAGTTGTGCACTGTACTGCAGCTGATAAACAGCAGATTTTAGAAGATAAAATAATAAATAGGATGCCCTGAAACACAGTTGCTTGTCACAGCAATAATTTGTGCATCTTCCAGCTCTTCCTATGAAAGCAGCGGCACCATGACAACTGGCCAGAGGTATTTATTGAAGTGGAGTGTACCGCTGGGACAAGTGGACGTCATAGAGTATGGCAGCAGTGAAGGCCAAGGAGACAACTGCAGGTTCCCACCACAGTTCTCTGCTGAAAATGTCATCATTAACTCTAAGCCAAGTAAGTGACAGAAGTTACTGACTTTTACAGACTACTTTTGAAATTCAATGGGCTACTGAAAACAAAGGAAAGCATTTTGTCCATGAAGATTTCTGTAACATGAAGAGCAGTAAAGCCTCTTTCTTTGGAAACAGAATACATAAAGTGACAGCCAGGCTCCTGCCTTCCTTGCAACATGAATTACTTTTATTTGTTGTATTTTAGAATTTTATGCATGAATGAGTAAAGAGTTTTAAAGCATGAGAGCGTGCAGACGTGCAAGAATGTGGGTTTGATGTGGTGCGCCAGTGGTCTCATGGTTGCTGGTTCTGCCTTTGTTCTTTATCCCATAGTTAGAAGAACAAGGAAAAGAGCAAAGAAGTTTTTCTTGATAGAGATGATCAAGCAACCCTGTTGCTGTGATTAAGTCTGGACACAAAGTCTGGTTACTGCAGGGTAGACTTTACTCACTTCTCTCAGGCCCATGGTATCTTGCTCTTCAAACTAGTGCTTCAGAAAAAAAACCTTAATGAATGTCTTTGAAACTATATGTTAATAGGTAATTTCCTCCTAACCTCTCTTCAAAAATGACCTCAAACGCTGAAGTTTACAAATTCTTCTGTCCTAGCTAAGCCCCCCTACAAGTCTGCCAACTGCCTTCAAGAGAAATACGAATTTTAAGACTTTACTTTTTAGCCAGATGTACATGCATAAGGAGTTCTTTTTATATCCCGCTTATTGCCTAAATATTGTAATATTAAATGCATTTACTATCTCTAGATTGTTATTTGATTTGTATTCATGGATTATGATTCACATAGATTTCAGTGCTGTAGGCGTTATTTCACACTACATGTATTTAATATTGCACCCTTGGCTTAATGAATTTTCCCACAGTTGTGCTGTAAGAAGGCATAAATGCTGGAGCATCAATACAGCATTTACTACCCCCTGTATTCTCCAGGATGGTTCTTGTCAGGTCTCCTTGCTCCTCCCTTTGGATATAGCTCCAGAATTTTTTATGGGCACTTATGTCTTTATTTCAAGGATGACTTAATTCTTGTGACTGCTTTTGAGCAATAATGGACTATTTACAGAATGAGATTAAAGCCTTTATCTTAAAATTTACCAGCTGCTGTATGCATAACCCTGAGAAAATTATATAAAGAAGTGTATTTCTTAGAACTGGGGTTCTGTTTTGTAGGTGAGTGTAGGAGGAACAGATAGTTGAGTACTCTTACTAAGATCTTGTGCAGCAGTTTCACAGCTGATAAGACCAAATTTTTGCATATCAGCATGGTCATATGGGGAAGAAAAGCATGAGGGAAGAAACAAAAACTCCTGACCAGTCATGTAGAACTTACTTGAACCTCTTGGCTTTTGAGGTTTTTCAGCTTCATCATATTTGGTGACAAAATCAGACGAAAAAAAAAAAGAAATTACTTTGTGCATCATTTATAAATCAACCTTCAGGTTAAATGGTACTCTGTAGGTAAAATGTGATCGGAACTAATTTTTCTTTTGGTAAACTCTGTTATATTAATTCAGTCTTCTAATAAAAAGGATCAAAAGATAAGAAATAAAAAAATACTGAAAAAATCCTCCCTCTTATTCAATCAAACTTTTCTGCCGAATGATCCAACTAAATTGAATATTAAAAAACATGAAAGAGGAGCATCATAGCCTTGTTTTTGCATATACTACTGTGTTTGCACTAGCTGTTGCTCTGATTGCAGAATTGTGTTCTTGTGAGGGTTACTGGTTATTAGTTACATTTCCCTTATCATTGCACTTTTTTTCTCCACCAAAACCTTTTCTGTGAGTAGGTAGCTGTCATAATTGTATCTTGCTGTTTATTATTGACTAAATGCAATTGGTGCTTCCGGTTTTCTATAATGTTGCAAGAAAAAGCAGTTTTGTCTAAAGATGCAAACTTTACTTTGGGTGCTGAATTAATAGCTAAATTTGAATTAATCTTGTAGAGCCTGTAATATGCCACTGAAAGGTTGAAGTATTTTATGAGTATGTACAAATCAAGGGCATGCTTCAGTACTGTTCTAAGATGAAAAGCAAGGGCTGTGTGAACTTGGTTTTCACTTGGCAAAATCATTAATTGGCAGTTTTCTACCCCACTGAGCTTTGTTCAGCAGTCTTTTGTCTTTGGATTCTACAGAAGAACACATTTAGGGGCTGTTTTTTGGTTTTAAACAATTTTTTTTTTTTGTTTTAAGCCATTTAACCAAGTATTTTGGTAGGAAAAACTGTGTGGCCTGAGGGTGTATGGGGCAAAGGAAAATTTTACTTGAGTATATTCTGCTATACTGTCCTGTCCTTGATGTACTCTTGCCTTGTTCCTGTTGTTCTCCCCTAGCACCAGCAGTAGACTAAGTTATCATAATTACAAACATGAAGAGGGATTTAAGTCTTAGCTGTTTGGCAGGGTCCTCTATTTGTACGATTCTAATATGTTTTCTTGTGGAATGTAATCATAATGTGTGTTTGCCTCCTGCAGTCATAACCAATAACATTTCACAATCTCAGTCTTCAGGAAAAACATACTTCTCTCAGCAAATTAGTCAAAGTTCTGTTTCATGTATTAGGGTTAGTCTTGCTTGAAAGTCTGTATGGCTCTCTGGCACCCCAGACAGACAATTTTTGTGGAAGAAGTTATTTAATTATGTGTGCCAAAAAGTGTAATGTGTTAATTTTCTTTGTAGAACTATTGGCAGAAAGATGCGAGATAGAGTTTTTCCCCTGGTAAATCCATGTATTGTTTCTGGTAGGCTGTTGCTGTTCTCTTCACCCCAGTTAGTCCATGTGCAGAAGCACTGACAGTGCCATAGTATGGAAAAGTTGAATTTATATAGGAAGAGGGGAATGTTTTCAGTGGGAACAGAAATTTGTGTGTTCTCGTTTTTTATTTACATGCACTGGTAAGAAATTCACCTCCCTCACCTGGCTGGTGATGCTGTACCTGATGCCTCTCAGGACACGGCTGGACCTCCTGGCTGCCAGAGCACTGCTGACCCATATTCAACTTGCCACTGACAAGGATCCCCAGATTTCTTTCTGTGTGGCTGCTCTCCTGTGTCTGTGCTCAGTCTGTTTGTACGTTTAGGGATGCCTTATCCTATGTGCAGAATCCAGCACTTGCCTTTGTTGAACTTCCCATGGTTGGTGATTGCCCAACCCTATAGTTTGTCAAGGTTTCTCTGCAGGATCTCTCTGCCTTCCAGGGATTTGGCAGCTCCTCCCAATTTAGTGTCATTGATAAAATTCTTATTTTTCCTTGGAGTTGTTAATGAAGACATTGAGGAGAACTGAACCTAAAATGAAGCCCTGGGAAACCCCAGTAGCGACAGGTCACCAGTCTGGTGCTACCACACTATAAGCAACCCTTTGTGCCTGACCCGTGAGCCAGTTTCTCACCCATCACATGATGTGTGTTTATCCAGCAGTATGCTGAACATTTTGAGGCCTGTGAGAAGCCTCAGATCAATAGCTTTACTGAAATCCACAGTTCACATCAACTGGCTTCCCTGATCAACTACCTGGGTTGGGTTGCTTTTTCATAAAAGGAAATTAGGTTTCTTAAACAGAACTCCAACTTCATGAACTTGTTCTGGCTGGGACCAATGACTGTGTTGTCTTTCGGGTGTTTTTCACTAGCTCCAGAATAACCCTTGTAACTTTGCCAGACACTGAAGTGAGACTGACGGGCTTGTAGTTACCACAGTCATCCTTCTTGCCTTGGGACAATGTTGTCAGGTTGCAGTTGACTGGAGCCTCTTCAGATTCCCTATTGGGTTGAATATGTGGAAAGATGGCATCAAGAAAGTTCAACACTACCTGTAGTTTTACAATAAAAAAAAGGATGGATGAAACCACAGTCAGTACAGCTTGTTTTTAATATGTCATTGATATTAAATATTATGAATACTTAAAAATATATAAATAGTATAGTCAAAGGGCAAATTTGTAACTTCTTACAAAACATTCAGTGTTACCCCTCTAAAAGAATCAGAAGATAACTTTTTTCTTGCAATTCATCCATATATACATAAAATTATTGCAAATATGTGTATTTCACTGCCTTTTAATTGGGACTATAAGAATGGAAGTCAAATATACTGGCCAGAGTTTCATTTTCTCAGACTTCTGGCACATGAGTTATGAGTTTGCAGCACTTCATGCAAACTATTGATGTGTTGGGAACTGTGGTTTGTGCTGAGGCAAATGCTGGTTTGGATGCCACAGGAATCACCCCCAGTTGCCTGTTCTTGGGTCCCCAAGAATAAAAAGGATGAATGAGAAGTTTCTCACAGGGCTTTTATTCAAGAAGACCAGACTAGAGAGGCTCTGTAGAACCAGAGGGTTCTACACCCAGACATGGCTAGGCATCCTGCCATGTCTGGTTGGGAAACCAGTATCTGCAGCAGTGTTCTGCTCTGATCATGTTGATTAAGAGACACAGGCAGCATAGACAGTTACTTAAGCAAAGAAACATCCATTTGAGCAATATTTCTAAAGGCTGAAAGGGGAAATGAGCAGACCCGTCTGTACTATAGATCCATACAGTGATGAGCATTGAAGAAAACAATGACATCAAAAATCAGGTTAGTATGCCTATGGCTGCATTTTTATGTAATTTTTTTTTTTAACAGGTTTACAGTTTGTAACTGAGAGCAAAGCTCAGCAGTGCTAAACCATGGCTGTTCCCCTTTCTCATTCAGAGTTCCAGGGATACATTTGTACTCTGTTTCCACTTGATTGTGTTCTTGATCTCTGTGGGGTTTGTTTACTGTCAAATATAGTAGTGACATGATGCTGAAGTGCAGAAATGATTCCTCTCTTCCAAGTTTCCTTCTGCTTGATGCAGTCACTGTGTAGGCCTCTGAGTGTTGCCAAGGAAACAGGGAGGGATGTATGATGGGCTAGAGTGTGCACTTGTTTCTGTCAATGTGTTGCTCAGTGGAATGACATCTCTTTTCAAAAATGAAGAGTGCTGCTGTGATAACCAT